AGATTTTTTCAATTGTTCTCTGACGGTCTTTAAAAATAAATTAAAAATATGTAATCTAACTTATAAGTAAGCAATACATGATTTATTGTAAATTGTAATTTGTATATGGCTATCCGTTAATAAAGTTATTATTATTATTATTATTATTTTTCATCAATGATCATGCAGTTCCAAGTCCCAATATCATAAACCAATTTAACACTAAACTCAGGAATGCATTTTAAGTAACACCCCTAAAAACAAGTAAAAGGCTATGTAAATGAGTTACCGCCGTTTATCGTCCGACTTCTCAAACTAAAACGTAGAATGTACAGGGAATAAAGAACTGTTAAAGATCCCAACACAAAAGCCAAAAACAAATTAGGAAAAAATATAAAACATTTAATTTTTATGTATGTTAACAACAAGTGGACTAAAGCGTGTGAAGATATAAACAATGCCAAAGCAAAAGATTTCTTCACACAAATTAGGAAACTGCCGAGATACAAAAAACAACATAAGATATCTGACATAGAAGAGAATGGACAAACATATCACTCTGACAGTGACAAGGCTAAGGTTTTCGCAACTCACTTTGAGAAAGCATTTTCCCCACAACCAAACCCCAACTTCGATGAAAACCATCTACAATTTGTGGACAACTGGTACCAAAATTTTTTCATGGATCAAACTCAGTTTACAGAATCTACAATTGACGAAAATAACTACTATGAGCTACTCTCCAGCCAAAAGAACTCATCACCAGGACACGATCAAACCCCTTGGATTATCCTTAAACAATTATCACCGTTAATACACGAATACATTATAAATATATTTAAGTACTGCCTTAACCATGGATACTTCCCTGACGAGTGGAAAGTAGGTGAAATTGTAGTCCTTCACAAAAGCAGAGCAGACCCTACCAAAGTCGGCAACTACCGCCCAATAACGTTATTACCTTGTTTATCCAAATTATTCGAGAAAATCATCAGATTACTCCTTGAAGAGACTACAAAAAATGCAATTCCGAACTTTCAATTTGGTTTTCAAGCCCAATTATCCACATCACATCCGGTTTTCATATTGGTTTCAAATGTCCAAACTGCAAAAAAAAGAAAACTTCATTCTTCTGCCTTGTTCTTAGACATTAACAAGGCTTTTGATTCCGTGTGGCACAAAGGCCTTCTCTACAAACTACATCTCCTTAATGTCCCCAGACATCTGATAAATATTGTAAGGCAATTCCTGGAAAACAGAAGACTTAGAATCAAAATCAACGTGTATTCCCCTGACTTTTTAAATTTTCAAGGAGTTCCAAAAGGATCCCCCATTTCCCCATTGCAATATAACCTATATTGCTCTGATATTTTCCGACAAACCACCCCCACTCAGTATATACTGCAATACGCCGATGATACAGCCCTAATAACTCATGAGAAAACTCTGAAAAAGTCTGTGGAGAACATAACAAACCAAACTGAAAATTGGTTCAACAAATGGAGATTAAAACCAAATCCAAACAAATCTAAGTTCGTTATATTCAACCACAAAATCAACCCTCAGAGTCCACATTTGATACTATATAATCAACGCATTTCACCCGCAAACAACACTACATACCTGGGCCGACAGCTAGATAACAAACTTAATCTTAATCTCCATACCAAAACGGCAAAACAAAGAACAGTCGCAAGAGCCAAACTATTTACAGGACTAACCAACAGATGGAGTGGAATAAATATGAAAACTGCAGCTATCTTGTACAAAGCCATCTGCCGCCCCCTTCTGGAATACTGCCACCCAGTTTTACTAAACTGTCGAAAACCAGCCCTAAATAATATTGCAACTGCGGAAACAACAGCCCTAAGAACAATCTCCAAACTCCGCCATCCCCTAAACCCTCTTCACAATCCTCCTAATGGCCTTCTTTATCAAACATTAAAAATCAAAGTTCCAATTCTTGAAAGATTAAAAAATCTTTCAACTAAGTTTGCTGCTAAGGATCACAACATTGAGATAATATCACAATTATGCATCACCAGAGAAGTCGATGAAAATGCCACAAAATTCCCAGAAAATACAATATTGTAAATAATCTTACAATTGTCTAATAATAATTAGTTTTTTTTTGTATCACTTAAAGTAGTTTGTAACAGGCTGAAGGACACCGGTCGATGTATATTTTGTATTATATGTTCTGTATTATACTGAATATGCAATAAAAACTTTATTTATTTATTTATTTATTTATTTATTTACTATAACACATTGCGTGCCACGGTCATATTGGAATATTTCCTCGAATGCCAAATATTTTTTTATTAGAAAAATATCATTTAATTTTATAATCTAGTTTGACAAAAATAAATAAGTATTTTGGATTATTGAATTGTTCAAAATTAACTAATAGGCAATACGTAACATTGTAATACTATTAAAGTAAAGCAAAATTACCAATAAGCAATGTAACTGGCTCTTGGAAATAAACATAGTATGGGAGATCTTAAATATAAATTCATTAGGTACTTAATTAAAAAAAACTGTATATTGTTTTTACACCTATGTTTTTGGAAATTCAATAGCTAACCTTCTTAAAGTTTCTTACAGTTTTCATTAGGTACTTAATTAAAAAAACTGTATATTGTTTTTACACCTATGTTTTTGAAAATTCAATAGCTAACCTTCTTAAAGTTCCTTACAGTTTTCACTGTCAGCTAATATATTCGAACCCACGACCTCTCGGCACTAACCACTAGTCCACCGTCGGCGGTTATAACTTAAAGTAGGTAATCTATAGATTATAAGAAAACATTTGATTTATTAAAATTTTAAAAGTTATAATAATTTTTCGATGCAGATCAAATTCAGTCGAAGAATACTGGTATTGACAAAACTTTATGTAGCTATACTTTAGGTTGGATTAGAAAATATACCACATTTTTTTACAATAAATTGTAAAGTAAAAATATTAGAAACTTCTATACTGTGGGATCTATTTAAATTTAGTTATAAGTTATAATGATTTTTCGATGTAATATCTGTTGAAGTATGGATATATTATTTATACAAGTACCTACCTATAAAAGCAGATCTACATCGAAAAATCATTATAACCTTATAACTTTTTAAATTTAAATAGATCCCACAGTGTACAAGTTTCTAATATTTTTACTTTACAATTTATTGTAAAAAATTGTGGTATTTTTTCTAATCCAGGCAGGATTATCCAGCTTAAATTATAGCTACATAAAGTTTTGTCAATACAAGTATTCTTCGACTGAATTTGATCTGCATCGAAAAATTATTATTACTTTTAAAATTTTAATAAATCACATGTAATGGGCCCGGGAGTATTAAATATTTTTACATTGTACTTTCCTCTAAAAATTGTTGTATGTTTTCTTATAATCTAACTTAAAGTAGGTATCCACCGCCGACGGTGGACTAGTGGCTAGTTATTTGTGTTTGTCCTATTGTATATTAGTCCTTCGAAGGGGACTTTAAGCCCGCGGTCCGTTCCTACCCCTAACCCGCTCAAGCCATTCAGTTGGCTTCTGGGACTTCTTAGGAAGTAAGGGTGGAACTAAAAGAGCCTAACGACAATCACAATGGTAGTCATGCGCAACGCGTCGCTAATTTTTTTATTGATTAGGATTTTTCCTTATTGATAACGACTGATAAGGAAAAATCAGAAAGACCTTTGTATTTTTAAACGTTGTTTTCGCTAATTTTAAAGTTTACCACTCGTCTTTTTAATAATAAAGAACAAATACATTATAATTGTAAAAAATAAAATAATAGATGGAACAGTTATGGATAATATTTGTCATTAACCCTCAATATTTTTAAACCAATAATCAGGCCAATTTACTAACATGAGTCGTTAACGTTAGCCACTAGAATCAGTGGTTATCGGCCAATCCGGCCAATCACATCGATTGAATATAAGGGTAACGTTAATGACTTATGTTAGTGAATTGGCCTGAATGTTATATAAAACGTAAAATATTGTCCATTCTTTGCTAATTAAACATAACACCTTTATCCACTGATTGTTTCAAATAATATTTTAATAAATATTAAAATACCTACTCTAAAAAGTCCTCGATGTTTTTTAAGCATTATTAAACAAATATTAAACTTTAATAAACTTTATTAAACCAAATATGCTCTATTTTGCACGATAACCTTTGCCATTTTTTTCAAGTTAATTCAAGTTATTCATTAATTAGTTTCTGGTCAAGAAACTGAACCAAGTAATTTTTACAGGGTTCTTTCAAAACTAACTTTACATCATTAAATGAGTATTTCCCGAGATAAAATCAAATTATGGTCTAGACCACCATTCGATTAATGACGAAGGGTAAACCACTGATTTTAAAAAAATTAAAATTAGCTTACGAATTAACGGCTAAGAGAATTTTCTTATTGATAACGACTGATAAGGAAAAAATCACAACTCAACGTCCACATAACGTTGAACGTTGGTCTCTTAGATTTTAAAGTAGTTTACCCCTCGATTAATGATGCAAGGTTGGGGTGATAGGGTGGATGCGTTAAAACTTGTCATTCAAATTTTCTCAATTGTTGGAATGAACATAATAAAATTTGGTCCACCAAAATCAGTTTGGTGGAGGACTACTTCTGCTTGGATCCCCCACCGAAAACGCTGTATTTTTTCCTGAATAGACTTGTATTATGCATGCATGGTTCTTGCATTCAAAAACCGTGAGGACTTTCAATATAGAGTACCTACCTTATATTTGACTGTTATTATTTTTATGAAATTTAGGTATTTTGGTATTTTTACATTTTGTGAACAAATAAAAAAAAACGTAAAAATTAACCTGTTTTATGTATACTTTCAGTAAAATCCAAAGTTACATTTGGCCAGTTTATAGGCGTATCTATGTTTTTTTCTTTTAGTTATACACATTTAATTAAAGACATTTAAGATTATATTTTTAAAAGTTGTTTGGTTTTGACTTTTGGATCCATTTTTTTTACATTTTACTTACGTATATGCCTCAAAATCTCCAGTGTTGATAGCTTCGATAAGCTGCTCAGTCATCTTGATAATTTCTTGTCTTTTAGCTGTGAACATTAAACAAATACAATTAAAATAAAATCGTTAACTGTTCAGTACACCAGCGACCATCAAACATCTAGAAGAACTACAGAGGAGTACCAATTACCACTGGTTTATACGAGGAAATTACAGTTTTAAGTTAGATCTTTTTTCATGCACAGCTTCAAACATTTTTTAGAGTTTAGTTCAAGTATGAAAATTTACAGTGTTTTAAAGATAATCCTATAAGGCTAAATTTAAATAAAATGCCAAATCAAAGTGAAACGAATATAATACCTAATTTATGAATAAATAGGAATTCATAAAGCTACTAACAATAGTTCAATCACTAACTGTAACGTTGAGAACTACAAGCACATTATTTAAGCAAGCAGGTTTACTACAGAATCATTTTATCATTTTTCCCCAAATTTGAGAAAAATTGAAAGCTGACATCATTGGATTTTCTTAAAACTTTCAGTGCTTAGGATGAACAAAAACCACAATAATATTTTTTTATTTAAACACCCTGAGAAAGTAGGCAGGGCTATTTTAACCGGTTTGCATAAAAAATTACCAAATCGGTGTCTAAGAAAACCCTTTATAACTTTGTTGTTTATTAATATTTTGTATCGCGTAATATTTTGTTTTAACCATAAAACAATGCACTTTTTAAATACATGCCTAAAATTATACAAATGTTTTTACAATTGCAGTTTTTTTAGTGCTAAATTTACGCTTCTTTTAACTGTAGTAGGCTAAGAAAATTTGATTTGGTGTATATTTTTATTTAAAGTAATTATAAATATTGATTAAAATATAAAATGCAAAATTATAAAAAATTATCCAAATTGCAGGAAATACCATCTTAATTATGAAAATTTCTCATTTTTGGCGAAAAAAATGCATTTTTTCGTCCAGAGGGACCGAACGAAAATTGTTCAAAATTTAACAGAATGTTCTTCGCAATATAATATATTGAGGAGAACATTCTGTTAAATTTTAGTATATTATACTAAAAACTGTAAGAAAAATATTGTGTATTTGCCTTGCTAAGAAGATAAAACGGTTTAAAATGCGACAAATTTTATAGAAAATGGCACTAAATTTATATATGATTTTTTGTTTAAGAAGGCTTTGATATACAAATCAAACCATATTTTTTTTACATTTAAAAAATAATTACATGTTTACATGTTTTAAAATGTGCTCCGTTACTGAATGAGAAGTGTCAAAAACTAATGAAATTTTTATAATTTTTCATTTTATATTTTAATCGATATTTATAATTACTTTAAATAAAAATATACACCAAATCAAATTTCCATAGCCTAATACCTAATATCAATGGTAGAAAATTCACTTTTCAGTTAAAAGAAGCGTGAATTTTGCACTAAAAAAACTGCACTTGTAAAAACATTTGTACAATTTTAGGTATATAGATAAAAAGTAAATTGTTTTATGGTTAAAACAAAATATTAATAGATAAACAAAAAAGTTACAGAAGGATTTCTTAGAAACCGATTTGGTAATATTTTACGCAAACCGGTCAACATGGCCTCGCCTAATTTCTCAGGGTGTTTAAATAAAAAAATATTATTGTGATTTTAGTTCATCCCAAGCTCAAGCTTTGATCTTCAAATCCCAAAACTTTTAGTAAAATCTGAGATGTCGAGCTTTTGTCATTTAATTTAATTTAATTTAGGTGAAATTTCATCGAAATTGTCTAGATGGGAAATATTTCCTCTTGGACCTGTTTCACCTTGATTTGTTTTCCGCTTTTGTTAATAAGACAAGATAAATTAATAAATGGGCAAGTGGTTAGTAAACGGTAAGTAGCTTTTTAGGTTACAGAATCAGATTTTAATTATATGAAAAAAAATGACATTACCTGAACTCTGCGAATTAGTCGATAGTTGTGAATACGGCTTTTCTGGGCACACAATCCGTATTTCTACAATCGCAAATAAGCTATTGTTAGTACTGCTTTGTAGCTTTGCATGCATATAAATACGCACTTTTTGAAGATTGTATCGAAAATATTTTAAAAATTAAAAATATAGATAAGAATAGAATCAAAAATAAATAAGTATTAAAATGAATCCCGGCGCATTTGCCATTTTATAAACATAAACTTGTTTAAAAGGTCTTTTAAAAGCAAACACATGTTTTTGACTAAAATGGGCCAATTTATGTAAACTTACTTTAGTGTGAACCTCTAAAAAAAAATTTTAAATGTTGTTTTTTAATAAATTTACGCGTATGCGACTATGCTCAAATTTGGTACTTTGACAGGTTTATGGGGTGACCTAAGTAATTTTATACTTTAGTTATGATAAGCCTATTGTTTTGTACCTACATGGAGTGTGTATCTGACGAAAGTACAGGATGATAATAAATTCATATTATAGTATATTATGTATCAAGTTTTATAAACGCCATTTTATTTACGAGTTTTATTAGGCACGAGCGAAGCTTGCGAGCGAGTGTTTAATAAAAACGAGTGTCTGGAGAAGTTTATAAAACGAATTGTATACTATACTTTATCTACGACGAACACAAAGAAGAATTTAAAGCAAATTTAATTTGTTAAACATTTGACATCTGTCAACTGTCAACGGATTTTCCCAATTTATAATAAAGCTAACTTTAGCCTGTGACTAAAATGCCCAAAAGCCACTGTTGCTAACTTCAGCCAGACTAAAACGCCATAAAGTCGCAGCTTATCAATGGGGGAGTACATTAAATATATAAAATATTTTTTCTACTCCCACCTTTAAAAAGCCCTTTATCGTACATGTTTCCATGACACTAAGTGACCTTTGACATTGAGAAGTTGTGGCTTTATGGCGCTTTAGTCACGGGCTGAAGTTAGCAACAGGTTTTTAGTCACGGGCTGAAGTTAGTTTTAAGTTAGTTGACAGTTGTCAAATGTTATACAATCGTTAAAATAAAGTGCCTTTATTGTAAAATAATACTAAATGTGAAAATTATTTTATTATCTCAATACAAAAGTATTAAATAGTTTCTCAAAGCCAATATTTGAAAAGTTTATATGAACATTGTACTGACCTTTTAATTTCGCCGGCAGTAAACTATAACTTAAATTCGGACAAGGACGCCACTGTAAAGTGCTCAAAACACATTTTCTTTACTTTCACTGTGAAAAACTGTCAATTTTCAAGAAAGACATTTCGATTTATAACCTGTATAATCTGTGTTTATAAAATAAAAAAATTTGACATTTGACGGTGACAAACAGATTCCCCTATTGTTTCATAGATGGCGCTCTATACAAATTTTTGATTTAAATCATTTTAAGATAATAAAGTATTTGTCGTAGAAAAAGTATAGTATGCACCTCGCAAGCTCGCTCGTGCCTAAATTAAATTCGTGTATAAAATGGCGTATATCAAACTTTATACATAATATACTATTATAGATGGTGTATGCTTAATATGCTTAAATTGTAAGCATGGATTATTAAATATTGTTTCAACAAATTTAACCAATTTTCTTACTCCTTTTCTGGTATGGTTGTGAAGAAGTTAATGTTTTATATAAAACTATGTAAACGTACCAAATTTTACCAGGTTTAAATTTTAAAATTTTTTGGCCGAATAACAAATTTGTAGTAAGGTAAATTTAATTTAACCTAGAATTAGATCTACAAAATACATACGTTTTATGGAAAGAACTTACAGACACTCTGTGTATTATTAAGGACTTTTATATTTTATACTTATACATTCGTTTTTTAACTAAATTAAAACTATATTTAAAAGTAATAATATTACTTTAATTTATTAATATTTAATATATTTTTCCGATAACAATCTTCCCTTTTAGTGCTTAGTATTTGGCTTAAGCTACAAATTTTATTTTAAATTAACCATAAAAAAATGTTCAATAGAAATAAATGTATATCGATGAATTACCTTCTTCCACTAATTGCTGATTTTTCTATCGTAAAATTTGTAACATATATGTACCGTAATTATAGTTTTCTTTTCTTAGTTTTAAATATAAGTAGTTTATATTCCAGTATGCTCATCAGTTTAAAATTAATTTACTTACAGCATGTTGTAAGATCAAAGGAATTTATTTTGAAATTTTTATTTTAATTTGGACGATAAAATTATTATTATAAGTTTTGTGCTTTTATCAAAACCAATCCAGCAATTAACAAAAGCCTATTTTAATATTTAAAGTTTAAAGTAAAATATTTTTTTTAATTGTTTTTTTCTTCATAAACTTTAATTTATAATTTAACTTTTTAAATTGTGTAACATCCTTTCAACTTTCGTCCATCTACGTATACATACATACGTATACAATATTGCTAATATATCTAGCAACACGTATCTACCTAGAGGGTTTAACAGTACTAATACAGTTCAATATCTAAATTTTACACAAAATTATAGCTACCTTTTTAAGCTACTTGTTATTTTGTCTTACCATCATTTACTTCTATTTCACAGATATCTAATTGCTCATAATCCAAGTTTGTATCTACTATAAGAAACATGCATTATTTTATTTTAAAAGTATTTTTTTAAAAAATAAAATTTTATAGTTTAAAAAATAAATTAAATTGAAAGCAAATTGTTAGAATAAAACCTGTTTGTATTTTTTAATAAAAAACTTAAAACTTATACAGACCTGACTCCTTATTTGGTAATCTATCGTATGGTATTGTAGTTTCAACCCATTTTTCAACGTCATTCTTGTATAAAGAATCCACATCTAAAGTGCAAAAGGCATGCAAAAAGCCGTACAAACAACAATTTGATTACCTACATATTTTTAATTTAGTTCTTTACATTTTATTTTTTAATTTAGTTCTTTACATTTTATTTTTTAATTAATATAATATGTCAAACTTTTATTTATTTATGCACCTATAAATGAAAACAGCACGGTTAATATGAATGTTAGGTCAATGTAGGAAATCAAACCAATTTTATTGTTTCGTTATTTGATACAAAATGGTAAAACTCCATAGGAAAAAAACTTATTTTAAAGAAAAGTTTTCCCAAGTACAAAAGCAGGTTATTTAAAAAAAACATTTAAAAAGAAAAGTTCCTGTCATACGTTTTAATACGCTTCGTGTTTAGACACAGTTTTTTAATTTAAATTTGCATTACTTATAACTTTATATCCCGTTTATATCATCAGAATTTCACCATCCGATAGTTTTTGCCTCCCTCTTTGAAATATAAAAGATACGTTATCTAAATTTGCATTTATATTTAAATGTTTTTAAATATTATTCTTTATCAAACTTTTTCTCGCACATCGCAGGTTGAACCTAATAATTAAATAAGATTCCTAGGTATTTTGTTATATCTTGCTTTATTTAAAAGTTATTAAAAATAATAAGTTAAATTTTACGAATTTCAATAATCATTTTATGAAATCAAGTTGTTTAACTATAGGTTATTATAGCTATTTAATAGGGAGTTTGCACATTTTTTTAAAATGATAATAATTTAGGCCAGATGTATTTTTTGGTAATTTTGAAGACCCATAAAATTATATATATATATCATTGGTTAATACAACAAATATATTATATTTTTTTGTATTAACCAGTGACGTCACATTTCAATAAATACAAATCCATTTCAATACGGTTTATTACACATTAAAACGTTTACAAAAAAATATTTAAAAAACTGTCATCGTGTTTATTGTCAGAACTCAAGTTAACAATGTTTTAAGAATTAAAATTATATCATATAATGTTAGATATAATAAAATGTACCTATAACTAGGGTTGTGCTTGGTCAATAATGCTTTTTAAATAGTGTTCTGGGTCATTTTTGACTAATTAATTTTAGGAGAGTAGAGACAATGGCGAGGTTGGGTTCAGTGACGAGGATAATGTGCCGTTATCTACACATGCTAGCACCGTGTTTTCGGTTTTTGATTCTTAAAAGAACCGTTTGTCTGACGACGTTTCGGTACAATCTCATGTACCATCTTCAGGTCTTATCTGCTGGGCTGCTGTTGCTGCTCTGCTGCGAGCTAGACTTGAATGTTCTTAAAAACAATGATATGAATGTTTTTTTGTACCTCAGAATGGTTTCTTTTTTTTTTGTTAGCTGTTTTTCAATAAATATACGTTTCTTTTTAAAAATAAGTAATTTTACTCATGCCTTTATTTCTTTAGAAAAAACTAAGGAATTTGACTGGTGCTTAGTCAATTGACCGGTCAATTGACTAGTCATTTGACCACAAAAGATTTTGACCGGTCAAAATCCCAATCCTACCTATAACTATGAAATTGAAAATTGTCATTAAAACTAAACAAATTAAAATTCTAATGGGAACTGTAATAGCTATTTACATACTATGGGAGGAAAATAGTGATTTTCCTCCCGTGAATAGTTTGATGCCCGACGCCAAGCGGAGGGCATTAAATATTCAAGGGAGGAAACGCATTTTCCTTTTAACGGTTTTTGAGCGTTCCGGTTCATTTTACTAACCCGGTAGGGGGTTATAATATTATGACAAATATTATGTAGTTGTTGCGTCACCAACGTTATGTTGACAACGCTTTGTTGCTATGGTATTTTTGGTAATACAAACATAACAGTTGTTATAAGCTGTCAAATTGTTTATCATAAATTTGAAATTGTTCCTACGTTTTGAGTTCTAGCGAAGACCTGCCGCAAGATCATGCTAAAGAGGCAAGAATAGTTGCAATTAATTTCCTTCCTTAAAAATCGAAAGAGCGATTTGAAAATAAATATAGTTTGTTCAAAGAATGGTTGGACAAGCGCGGAGTAAATCTTTTTCCTACTAAATCAAAATTTGATTTGATTATCAAATAGGGCTAGACAAGGTACAAAAACTCTTGCTAATATAAAATTTAAAAAAAAAATAGAGGGTGGAATTTTTGTTTCCTCCCGAGGAGGAAAAGAGGCATTTTCCTCCCTCGCTCGGGGGTGGAAAATTAAGTTTTCCAGTAAGGTAGTAGAAAAAATAGTTTTGTCACGCTGCAGCACGCTGTAAATATTTAAATTAATGTATAATGGGGATACCCTATAGCTACAGCTCAAATTTTCCAAAAGATCGTTTTATTTTACATTGCTCTAAATCTGCTTGACGGCGAAAAAGATTTTAATGTAATTAAATTTTAAATAAATATTACGGGGAGTATTTGACAATAATTACCAAACTGTTAATTTAATTACACATATGGACGAAATTATCAAACATTTTTTGTTAAAGCCATTACTTCCCCAGTAGCACAAAATATTGGTCCTGTATGGGGCGCGTCTATGCCCAATATTTTATCTGGGGCCAATATTGAATTTATTTAGCCGATGTTAGCCCTATATTGGCATATTATTTTACGCCAAAATATCATTAACTATAGTCAACGATGCTCTAGGATTTCTAAAAGTGATATGTAACGACACACGTTACCATCCTTATTGTTTAGCACCAAATGGGGGAAAATAATAAAGGCCATTCTTGCATATTACCTTAAGAATAACAAGAGTAATATGCGATTTCTTGTCTTATTTGCAATACAATTCGTTATTAAGTTAATAAAGCTCAAGCTGATCATTTTATCACACGATACAAACGATTTTAGCATTTCATCGTAATTAAAAATAACAGTACACGACTTGTCTTATTGGTAGATTTTTTCAAAGAATTTGGAGGGTACATTTTATATCAAGTAAACCCCCTCTCCCTTATCATTTGGGTGGGCATTGTCAACCGCCCCCCCCCCTTATACGCCACTAAGTACCTACTAGAAACATTTCCTGAAAAAATAATTTGTCGACAAGATCGTGACATATCACTTTTAGAAATCCTACTACGAAGTAAGTAGGTAGGTGGCTATATTTTTTTTCTTTAAATTTCTCCCTTAACTTTCCTACAGTATAATGTAAAATAACTTCGGACCAATGTTTCAATATTTCAATATTAGACCATGCTAGAAAAAATCTGACGAAAGATATTTTGGCCCAATATTCGTAATAACATCTTTGTGCTATTGAAGTTAAAAATAATGAAATACTTTTGTTTTAAATAGAGAAAGGGCAAATGCCACTATCAATATTACTTACCGTACTTAATTTTACAACAAATTACTTGGATCACTACAATATAAAAAATATTTATGTTTTTAAATAAACGATGACTTCTATGTAAATGCAAACCCCCAACTTAAGCAAAACCTTGTGGGAAAATCAGTTTTTAGAAGATTAAATTAGTTAATAGTTAAATTTAATCAATAATTTATAATTTAATTTTTTTTTAATTTTTATTAATTAAATTTAATTAGTTTAACTGTCAATATGGTAAAACTAATATTATTAATTACATTTAACCACCAGCATACTAGACAAATGTTGGATAGATTTAAGACTATATTATCAGGGAAAAATAGTCACCCGTTATAATAATAAAAATCAAAAATATTTTATATATATATATATATATATATATATATATGGTACACCACTATAGTGGTATAGTACTATGAGCACAGTACGCATTTGCGTTTCGTATTGTCTCCATGACAACAATACTATACATGGTAACAATAGGATACGCAAATATAATTTATAACAAAATTTAAGTATCATTACCTATGACAATTATGACAAATAGAATTTTTTTTAGAAAACCTCATATTAAAACATATCTTATAAGTTATGACATTAGTTCTTTAATATACAACTTCTATTTCAAAGAGCAAACAAAATTAAACCATAGTTTATTTGACGAATAACATTTATTTTTCGATAAACTATCCGCTAGTAAAATTTTGATAATATAAACTGGACCACCCTTTGTATACAGGTATCCCTTTATGACATAGAGTCTATGTATGGGTATCGTTTTTCGTTTAAAGAGCCACAAGGTCGGTTAAATTAGAGAAAAGTTGGGTAATTGCAGTCAATTACATTATATTATTTAACCGACCTTTTAGCTGTTCAATTTAAAAAAATACCCATAGTACTATTATACTTAATACACATAATTTTCTGAAATAATTTAGAAATTACAGTGTAATAATTTACAAACTTGTCCACCGGCCCGAAAAAATGCAAATTCAATTTAAAAAGTAATTATACTAAAACAAAAGTCATGAGAAATTAAACCTAAAAACAATGTTCACTAAAAAGGAAGCTTTTTATTGTGGAATTTTTGTATTGGCATAAGCTTTACGCCCAAAAGTCCCACCTTGACATTTGAATATAAATAGTTGAGGTTATCTATATGTCAGTTAAACGTTAATTTTGTATTATTTTCTGAAAAAATTACAATTTATGTATATTTTTTTGTATAAAGGTCTCAATTTATACAAAATAAATAAAATAAATTTGGGGATAGATAGATAACCTTAATTATTTTTATTCAAATGTCGAGGTGGGACTTTTAAGTAAGCATAGTACATAATTTTGAATAAAGAGAGATAGATATTTATGTATTCATTATTTTTTAAATAAGAAGTTAACTATGTAATATTGAACAAAATTGTAATCCTTTAATTTCTTGCACAGCTTTCTTTAACTGCGTACACGTTTTAAAGTTTTAACTATAAATAAATAATTGAATGTTTGACTTTTTGTAGATAATATTTATGTATAAATTGCAAAATACATTAATGTATGTTTTTTTTAAATAATCCTATAGAATATTTATTGACCTTTAGCTAATATATTGGTTAAAGGTCGATAAATATTATAAAATATTATCTACACGGAGAGAAAAATTTTGCCAAAATAACCATCCAAAGTATTGTTAAATGACGTATCGTGAATTTAGTCAACTGTTTTATTAAACTGAGGATTTGTATGGCTAAATTAGCTATACAGATCCTCAGTTTAATAAAACAGTTGACTAAATTCACGATACGTCATTTAACAATACTTTGAATGGTTATTTGGGCAAAATTTTTCTCTCCGTGTACAAAAAGTCAAACATTCAATTATTTATTTAAATCCTTTTATAAAAGGATTTACTATAACGTTCTTTAAAACCATTAGTTAAAAAAAAAAACTATTTTAGTTTTATTTGCACCTACACCCTAAATAGACGAGTTTAAAAGTAGTTAGTAGTAAAATGAAAAGTAAACCATGTTAGTTCATAATCAAAAAACATAAGGCCCTAACCTTGCACATTTTGTAATAACGCCTGGCCTAGGTTTAGGGCGTTCGGCCTAGGCGCCGTGGTAGCGATAGAGCTAGACGGAGAACCGGTCGATGAGGTGGGCGCCACTCTGGGCGACTGTGGAGGAGTCCCGGGGCCTAGCAGGGTGTCACAGTTTAGAAACACAGATACATAGAGAAAGCACAGCAAAGATAATGTTTAGAAGTGGCGAGGGCAAGTTTTATTTTTAATTTAACGCGCTAACAAATCGGACAACATGATGGCTGATTTTCTTTTTTCCCTGTAAATTAAAGGAGGGGTATGGATAAGATTCTTTTTCCACCATAAAATTTACGTAATGTCATTTAAATGGTATCTTATCATATTCATTGAATGTGAGCCGTTGAGTAATAAAAATAAGTATTACTTAATTGAATCGGTAAGATTAAGAAAATTACAAGTCTAATAAATAGTTTGATTTTGACAAAATATAACTTCATTTTTGGGTTAATAGTTTAACTATTTTATAAAATATAATATTCATATTCTGATAAATGATTTATATCCTTTTACAAAAATGTATTTTGAACTTGAACTTGATTATTATATTTTATTAATTAGTTAAAATATTCTTACAAACATGCATTTTAAACTATAAAACTAATTTTATAAAATAGTTTGTTAAAATTTTAACTTTTGGACTTGTACTGTTCTTATTCTCACCAATTCAATTATATTTATACAAAAAGTTTATGACCGAAATTTACTTTTCTAGAAAGGCGAGTGGTAGAAAAGGTATCTTATTTTTTCAGCCTTGTTATTTAAAAAATTATATTTATAATAGAAAAAAAGTTGTAATTTGTATCATTATCAACAGGCACATTATATGTTAATTTTAATATAATTGTTTATTTATTTAATTTTGAAATATTCAAATAATTTAGGTTTTTTCGTTTTGTATTTTTAACTGTTTATTTTTACATGAAAACATTAATATATTCAGATTTTTTAGGAGTAGACATAATAAACATTATTTTACTGTTAATAATTTGATGTGTACTTGGCACTAAACTTAAAAATTTCATAAAAACCTATACCCGTTTTCAAGGAATTTATAATTACATAATCAAACAAAATTGTATTTTTTGATTTTGTTAAAATTTACTTTTACTTGTTATGTAGTTTTAAATGGTATTATTAACCTTTTTGTCTTGTTTTCCTTTTTAGAATTTTTTATATAATTTTATCCTGCATAAGGGGCATTCCACGTTACTCGGTAATTTTTGTCCCGCCCGTCACAATTAAAAATTGTGAGTAAAAACCGCAAGTTATAAAATTAATATTTTATAATATTACTTTTATTGTGCTAATAACTTAGTAAAACCATAATAAACAATATTTTAAAATAAATTTTATAACGTGGAGTTTTTACTCACAATTTTTAATTGTGACGGGCAGGACAAAAATCCCCGAGTAACGTGGAATGACCCATAACCATTTTTCTTTAAATTTTGATGTGTGTGAGCTTTTGTCATACTTGTGTCGATTTTGTATCATAATCAGCAAGTATTGCATTTTTCAGAAAAAAATTTTTGTAGTGTAATATATTAAATTTTAGGGAAAAATCAGTTTTAACCAGTGTTAAGAATGGATCGAGTCTAGGAAACATTTTTAAAACTGGTAATCAACTTAAGGACCTGATTAAAAAACTACGTTTTTCACAATAAATCGAAATTTTGTTTTAAAAATGATTTATACCCAAAACATACTTTCTCTTCTTTTGGTGGCAGCCCCAATTACCGCCGCCAGGGTAGACATGGTGTCACCAAAGCAACCAATTTTGACAGTAGAAGAGCCTCAAGGTTAAGGCTTGGAGAAGCAGGCGAACACAAAACAGATAATAAACATAAAATTGCACTCGTTAAATCATCGTGTTGTCGTCACACTTGGAGCGAGCAACTGTTTTGCAGGCGGGTTTTCGTGTGGTTTTAGTTAGTTGGTAGTGCGTTGTCACTGATCCAAAATTAACTGATGAGTCTAATCGATGCCCGTTGAATTTAGGCAAATAAAGCTTAAGTAGACTATTTTTAGTTGGTGCCTGCAATTTTAAATGTTTGAATACCAGCGTGCAGTCTAAAGTAGGCGAAAGAATTTATGAGAAAGTTTCACGTGAGAGAATTTCCTGTTTTTTGTTTACATGTTATTTAAATAATGCAGTGGTTTAGCATAATAAATGGAAAAAATTTAAAAAAAAATGCAATGGTTTCTATATTTAGTTGGTTTGCATAAGTATCTTAAAACATACTTAACCCTACACCTTTTGTTTAAATCAAAAATATTTATAAAACAGTTTAAATTTCAAAATACCTTATTTTATTTAAATTTTAGGATGTTCGCATCTAAGTAAATATAATTTAGAAAAAATTAAGGACTCTATTTTAGCAACAAAATTTAATATTAAATAGGTAACTTTTATGTAGGTATACCGTATACCGTATACGGTCGCGAAAGGATCGAACGGTCGATTTGAAAGGGTTCAAGAAATCGATTGAAACTTTTTTACCTTATTTCTACATCTAAATGCAGTACTTTTTTCCAAAAAAAATCTTGTCCATTGACAACTTTGTTTTTATTTTTATTTTTTACTTCACTGTGTTAAAAATTAAGAAATTTCATATTTTTTTTATTTCAAAAGGTATCGATTTGAAATTTGGGCAAAATGTAGAACTTACTAACGACAATTAATTCATGAAAAAAATTATTTAGATTTCAACGTACAGGGGGCGCTGGTGATAATGTAATTTAACATTTAACAATTGTTAATTAATTTTTAAAGGGTTAATATTCGAAGAAGCAACATTGTTTTATAAATTTAAGTATTACACTTAAAGTATTGATATTTGTCTATTATTTGATACATTAACTTTTTTATGCAAATTATGTTTGTGTGGCCAGGATCAATTTTGAATTGGCAGTAGCAGTATTCATAAATGTTTAGTTTAGTACATTTTGTCATTTTATACAAATATTGTTGTATCTTTTATTATTACGTACGTATTAAAAAATTCTATGATGCCTACTATGATAAAAATTAGTAAACTTAAAAAAATTTAAATTTATAAATAAAATAATTTTAACTCCATCTATGGCGATTTTTTTAAATAAATATGTAAGAATTGTATGTACTAAATAATATATTATATGTAATATATAATACATTATCTTGTAAAACTAGATAAAAGAATATATACTTTGTAAAACACGTTAGTATTAAGCCCTTTGAAGACCTAACTAAAAAAATATGTCTCTCGTAGAAACATAATTTGCATATAGAAGTTTATATATCAAATAATAGTTAATTATCAGTACTTTAACGTGATATACTTACTCAAAATTATAAAACACCGTTGCTTCTTCGATTTTTTAACACTTAAAAAATTTTAAATTAAATTTTCCCCAGCGCCCATTGTATGTTAAAATCTAGAAAAATAATATGTGGATTTATTGCCATTAATAAGGTCTAAATTCTATCTAAATTTCAAATCGATACGTTTTTGAATAAAAATATCGAAATTTATCTATTTTTAACACAGTACAGTAAAAACCACAGCGGTCAATGGATGAATTTTTTTTTAATGCACCATTTACATGTAGAAACGAGGTTAAAAAATATATTCAATTCTGGCATCACTTGCAAACAAATGTCCAAAATTTGTTCGATTTTTACACGAAACCATAGTTAACATTCAAAGTAAAAACAAATTAAAGTGGACATTGTATTATTTAATACAAGTTATGTTTTATTTTGTTTATTTGGTGACAATAAACTTTGTTAATCTAATACATTTTTAAATTACCTACTGTGCCCTAACTGTTTATAATAGTATATTAAAGAACTTATGTCATAAGACGTCATTTTGTCGCACGCGGAAAATTTTTGAAACGAGCGATGAAGGAGCGAGTTTGGTAATGGACGAGTGCGACAAAAGGTCTTATGACATGAGTTCTTTATGCTATTTTATCTATTTTGCAAATATTCTATAAACAAATTAATTTTATACCTTAAATTTAATTTGGTCGAATTTTACATTAGATAGTTGGTATCAGTCATTGGTTTGACAGTTAATGTCAAAATCGATTCGCCATGCCGTCCTTAATTTACTTATTTACAATAAGTGGCTGTTAATGTTAAAGAAGAAAAAAAGGATTTTCTTTGGTGTTAAACAAAATTTATTGCAAAATTTATTGCCAGAAAAGTCTCGTAAGTTCTAGAAAAATGTGCAAAATATTATGCTGTTCAAAGTGGGTGGGATAAAGTATCTCATTACAGCACCGAAAGCGGTGTTATAATGAAGTCATTATGAACGCAAAATAGATAAACTATATTTTAAAAACGTTAAAATGTCAGTGGCATATATATTTATTAGAGCTTTACCTTTACACTATAACTCGAAAACAAAGAAGAATCACAAAATTATAAAAATTGTTTACTTTTCTGATGATAAAGTAACAATACTTACTAAGACCCTGCATAATTTAAATAGTTTGATTAAAAAAATACTATTAGACCCTTACTTTCGTATTGTGTATTTGATATTTAATACTTTATTTTATTTATGTAAATTATTTAAGTTAAAATCATGAATAGAGTGGTCCTTAATAAAGTTGTTTTTGAATTTTCATACTCTTGTGGGGCTTAATATTAATAAAAAAATTCTCTGAAAATTTGAGCTCTCTATATCAACTCTAGTCCGCTTTGTGATCAAAGTTTCTTATAAAAATAACTTTTATGGAAATAACTTATTTGCCATTTGAAATTGTAGTCCTTACCAAATTCACCGACAATAAAAAAATAAAAAATAAAATTATCATTTTCTAAAGAAATGAACAATCAAGTTATAATATTATATTATAAAACTGGTGTATAAGAGGGTTATTAACGCAAGAGTTTTTTTTATTTTTTTGAATTTGTATATTTTGAAAATTTTGGAAATATTAAAAGTTTGGAAAATTTTCAAAATTTATATCATATTTAAAATTTCTTAAATTAAAAATAAAACATAAAGACACGTGCTTGTAATTTTTGTGGCTTTGACGTGATAAAATTTTTTGTATCATAAATGGAAATTACGATTTTATAGCTATACTTGACTTGATTTTACATAAATTAAATTCTGAACGTTAATGAAAATTTTAACGCTATTATTTAGGAATTTTATACATAAGAGTTTTTTCCCTACTATAAAATGTATTTTCGATTATTTTTAGTATATGTCCGACTTTAGACGATTAAAGGAAAGTCTTTTATTAATCTCGACCCTTATCCAGAAATCAATTTTTTGATGCATATGGCGTATCTCGTTAAAATATGTTAACTTTTTAATTACATTACAATGTATTCTTTTTAGATAGAGTTTTAATTTAATCATGCAAAAATACCTACATGCTTAACATATTCATGCAAAACTTGTATTCTACTTTATTTTTAATTACTTTATAATTAATTATAACAATTATTGTTATTTAATTTAACAGGTTTAACCCCGGCGCATTCGCCATTTTTGCAAATAATTTAAATACCATTAAATAGTTCTTTTAGCTAAAGCTAAAGCACAAACTTTAATTTAATAAAAAAAAAATAGAAAAATTAGTTGTTATATATGCTTATGTAGTATTTAAAAAATTTTAGAACATACACTTTATTTAAAAAATAATAGTTTAGTTTTAATTTTTGTATAAAATTTAATTAAACTTTTGTTTTGTTTAATTAATTAAATTAACTTTCTACTTCAAACCATTCCAATAAAAAAACTTGGAATATCAAACACAAAATTTATTGTAATGTTGCGTAAAAACTGGAAGAAGTGCATCGAACAAAAGTTTAAAATCCAAGCAATTAGTAAAAGCCGGTAAGTCATAAGAATAGTTTATAAAACTTAAGATTGTATTTAATAAATAATATTTGCTTATAATGTTCGTTTCATTTAATGAAAATTAGGAAAGTAATTGCTATTATGGTGCTTATCTTAATTTCACTGCATAGTCCCAACAAAAAGAAGATTTTTATATAAATAATGTCAATTATTTTTTATTAAGCATTTTAATTAGTACAAAACATGCATTTATATAGGTATATATCACTTAAGTAGGTCTGAAATTTTTAATACCTATTTCCAAAGTGACTTTATATTAGGATATGTTTTAGTTGAATGTTTTTAGACAATTGTTAAGACTGATGCAGTGCTTGAAAAGTGTATTATAATAGATTACCTTCCGGATCTTTGGCAATAACAGTTGAACTGCGGTCGACTCCGCCTTTCTTATCCTCTGAGCGTAGCCCAGAACATAAATAAATTATCCAATTTGTCACAACATGTTAAATCAAGTAGTCGTGACTTAAAAATGGGGTTCAGAATGATGTCCTGAAAACCGACTACTAAACATTTAACGCTCTTTTTCGGGCCTTGGTTAAAAATAAATCAAATTATTGATTTAAATTGGTTATTAATATGTAATAAAAATAATGAATACATTCATACATTATTAAAGGTACAATCAATGGGCAAAGTTCAGCTTATCCAAAGCATGTATTTCGCTGCTCTTCCACTTAACCCTATTAGTAAAAAAAAGTGTAGTGGGCAGGTTTCTTTATTTCTCACATTTGTTTTACGTTTACAATTTTGTAGACACCGATATTTACTTATGTATTTTTTTAGTTTTTGGAAACTAGGTTTTTTGGTAAAGGTATAACTAGATTTTTATTCCCAAAAATATTTGAAAAATTATTCGTAAGCAATCGCAAATCGAAAATTTACGCATCAATTTGATTATTGATTTATATTTCGGAAACCAATTAGCTAATAGATAATAAATGTTTATATTTTGTATTAAATAGGATACTCTTTTTATGCGTACGAGTAAATTAAACAAAGTTAGTAGCCATCAATATTAAGGAAGTTATGAATATTTTTCTGATGCCGCGCGGCCAATAACGTGCGTAGTCTCGTTTGAGGGCTAAGTAAAATTCCTATGATAAACTTTTGGTGGCTTGTGTTATATATCAATATTAATAATATAAGTAATATATATTACATATATTATTAATATTGATATATAACACAAGCCACCAAAAGTATATATATAATATATATTACATATGTGTAATTTGAAGATTTCGTTATTATTACCTTGTAAATGCATAATAAAAGTAAGATTTGTTATACCTGTTAACTCTCAGTGAAAAAGGGATTTTTTTTTAAATATCTTGGTTTTATGACTTTTTATAAAAATTTGGTAAATACTGGAAAAATTGATATGGAAATATAACTGCCGCTCTGGTCTATGTATGTCCCATTTTCCTTTATATATGGCTGTCACCCTGGCTATATGCATGCATTTATTAACTTTTTTTACAAGGTTTGTGGAAAAACGTCTTGGGCCTTCTTGTCAATTATCTTGGCATTTTCTTGTTCGGTTGTTTCGCGAAAAAAACATTTCTTAGTTTAAAAAAACAGGTACTTAAATATCTAATTATTTCCGAAATATAAATCAATAAAAAAATTAATGAGTAAAATTTCGATTTGCGACTGTTTACGAATTAAGTGTATTTAAAAAAAATCCATCCAAAAACTTTTTTAGGTGGCCGGTTTTACTTGTTTTAACTCACAATGTAAAAAAACTAAATATTTTTTTGATAAAAATCGATCGTGTTTTAAAATAATATACCTATACCTATGTATAGGTATACAGGGTGTCCCAGTCGCGCACCACCTTGAAGGTACGGATCCCCAGGAATTCCAGAAAATTCTTTAAAAAATCCATCTTCGTTATTAAAAAGATACAGGAGATACATATTTTTTGAAAGGGCTCCTATAACGGAAAAGGACCGTTCTAATAAAACTTTTTAATGTGGAATAACATACAGTGTGTGTACAGGGTGTGTCATGTAGCAGTGGCCAATACCAACTTTTTTATTTTAAATGCAACACCCTGTATATTATTCAATTTTTGTATTTTTCTAAAAATTGTAGACATATTTCATGTACAATGTCCTATATCTATCTTCAACTACTCGGAACACACACGATCATGTGCGATATAGCGAATTTTGTTTTAGCAAGATGAACCACCGCCTCATTATCGAATCAATGTCCAGCAGTACCTCAACCAAATTTTTTTTCAAATCGATGTAATGGCCTGCACGATCCTCTAATCTGACGTCATTATACTTCTTCCTATGAGAATATGTCAAAAGTTTTGTATACAAAACCAAATCCCGAATTAGCTGACTTAGGAAGACGATTAACGCTTGCGATTAGATCTGTGATGCCACAACATTGTCATTATTTTTTTTGTTTATTACATCATCAAGAAATAAATAGTATTACTTATTAGTTCTCAGTGTGTGGTAGCGAATTTTTGGTCTTAAATGTTAATTTTTTAATATTTCCGAAACAGTTGAAGATAGGTACAGGACATTGTACATAAAATATATTTACAATTTTCTGAAGAATACAAAAATTGAATAATATACAGGGTTTTTCATTTGAAATAAAAAAATGGTATTGGCCACTGCTACATGACACACCTGAAACACATTTGGAATTGCATATTTCGCTCTCGTGAAACCGTCAACCCGCCTTCGGCTCGTGTGACAAAATTTTCACTCAAGGGGAGTATGCCGATTCCAAACTTGTTACAGAACATACTATATTTTACTATGACATCATCTAATTTTATCTTTGTGGTCTATGGTGTCATGCCAACTGATAAAAATTGTTTAACTAATAAATTTTTGTGATAATGAATTGTTGCCAAACCCGTGCGTCTTGTTAAAGTAAAAATCCTAAAATGCATTTTTCATAAGATGAAACATTAATTCCTAATGAAACCATTGTTAGAACATTCTGCACAAATTAATATAATTTACGTAAACGTATTATTTTTAGATGTAGATCATCCAAATTTAAGGTGGTGCGCGTCTCTGGGACACTCTGTATAATATAACAAATTAATATAATATATTATAATAATAATTTCTTTTATATTCGTCTAAAGTAAACCGTTTTCTATAATGTATGTTTTTAACGTAAGTTTTTTCTAAAGAAATAGTATTGACAAGGTAAAATACACTGTTATAAATGATAAAATTATTGCACCAACCCATTTTAAAGCTGACAAATGTTAGTAGTCGATTTATATCGATGGATTGTGGTAAAGATACGATTTGATCAAGCGTGATTTATAAGTTTAGTATCTACTTTTAAAATGTCCCCAAAATATAAATACTGTGCAGTGATTTACTAATGAGGTATGTAGATCGATATTACTTGCGGGTATTAAAAAAAAACTTTCGAAGAAAATAATTGCATTTTTTAGTTGGTAAACAACATTAAAAACTATAGTTCTAAAACCAACCATAAGAAGGAAAGCCGGATGGATTAAGTTTTAAAGAACAATAATCCGAAGAAATGAAAAGTAATATCAATAAAATAAGAAATTGCCCTGGAAGCAAAATTAATTAAAGTTTTAAGAGTATACTTGACTATAATGGACAAGCATTTTAAGAAGATATTTAAACGTATAAAATCCTGCAAAGGAACGCTGTATTCATAATACGTGCTACATTTAACAGAAATGAGAAATTCTCGTGTAATATGCGCTGGAAGATTTGTAGTAAAATTACAAAAATATTTTAATAATAAAATCATATAAACCGTAACAGTTTCGTTTAACGAATCAATTTAATAAATATAACAAGTTATTCCATGTAAATAATGAAAATTGTTATTAAAATGTTGTACTACAGTCAGTGAATATTTATTTTTAACTGTTTTAATTGGTCGGCAATAATATTTATATATATCACATTAAAAGCTGAAATTTGTGCCTGCAGAATATTTTTATTGTGTTTGCAATTGAAAGATAGCATAAGCATATTATATACAATTTTTTTCTTAGAAAATTTTCTTTATCACCCTGTAACAAATGAGAAAGCAATCATACAGTGCGATGCGGTAGTACAGTATTTATAATGACCATCATTGGTAATTATTTTTGAAAATAAACCAGTGGTATGTGGAATGAATGATTTCTATATACATGGGTACTTCGGGGATACTGTGCATACACTGTCTTGTTGAGTGATTAAATTTTTTTAATAAATATTAGTTTAGTGATGGTTTTAATTTAAACCCTTTTTGTAAAGTTAATTATAAAACATATCCACAAAAATAACAAATCACCCCGAAATGTTATCTTCTATGTGTATATTTTATGAAGAAATACGATAGTTGACGACAATGACCGGCCAATTACGTGAATGTCCATTTTTCCTTTTTTAAAATAATTTTACCTGCGTCGTTCAAAATATTTGAAAAAAAAACTAAAATCGTTATAACTTTGTTATTCCTGGAAATTTTAAAGAAAAAACCCAAGTTTAACTTACACATTTCTCCAATTTCTTCGCTACTATATTTGAAGTTGCCATCACCATCTTTTGTTTTTATAATGGTCGTCATAACTTTTGTATTAAGTTTAATACATCGTTGGATTCCTTGATTTCTAATTTTATTTCATAAAACAAAAGATGATGGTAACTTAAATTCTAGTAGAAAATAACAATTCGTATAAAAATGTAAATACATATGTGTATGTTTACATGTTAAAGTTACTTTTGTCAAATTTCCTAGGAACGAATTTTTGTTTAGAAAGGTATTTAGGTTTTTTTCAAATTATTTGGAACCGCTGATTTTGCTTTCAATTTTTAAATGTCATTTTAATATACTGGTAATTTTTCTTAAATTTCACCAATTTTCAAATAAAAAATATACTCATACATAGAAGTTTACTTGGTGCACCTGTATACTATATCTATACAGTGTATAGTCCTCGGTTTATTTAAGTTTTTTAATATTGTGTAGCCTTTTTACATTAACTATTGGCCAAACTGTATTTAGTCCACTTTTTAAAAATTACATTACATGTTTCTAGCCTACAATTTTCCGCTCTTTCCAATGGCAAACAAGATTAATATATAAAAATTAAGGCCTTAAATAGGTACTTATAGGTATCGAAATTCGAGGTACAAAAATAGCACCAAAAAGGTTAAAAGTTCATTACTAAAGTTAGAGGTACCTAAAAACTTTAACTAAAAAGTCAAAGTAGAAATATTAGATTACACAATAATGAAAAACCATTGAAAAACAAAGAATATATAATACATTAAAAATAGTCAAATTGGTTATTTTTGTTGCTTAGTTTATGTGGCATACAAATTCCACTATTTTTACGCAATATTGAGAAGTTAGAGCGACAATCTCTTAAACATCCTTTTGCATTATAAAAGCCAAAACGAATTAAAATTAGTAAGAAAACTTAACCACTCAAATTACTTTTATTTACATCAAACAAAAGTGTGAAGGCTATTTTAACAATTAGTGCTATTGATAAATAGTTAATATTAAAATTGTATCTTACCTTTGATATCGTCATCTTCTAAAGTAGTCGAGCTGTCAGTCGATTCCTTAACTTGAGATCCATCGCCCTTTTTCACAATAATACTGCGGCCTATAATATAATTTCGTCAAAAAATTGTACAAAGAATAACTGGAGTCAATATGAAAAATTTAAAAACAAAAATTAAGCCAATTCATATTTATTTCGCTGAGGGTGTTGTAAAATTTAATATAAAAAATAAAACAAAAACTGTTAAATATAAATAAAAAATTAATTTAATTTATCTTTTATTTTATTCATTGGTGATTTAAGTTATCTTCCACCAAATACGATAAAAAACAAGGAAAATCTAGAATCCAAATCTTGCCAGCCACTTTTTACTTAATCGTATCTTGTTAAGATAACATTTTTTGTTGATAAGGGTGATACAAAAAAGCTTTTTATAATGTGTGGTGCGTGAAGTGATGAGTAAGTGAAGAAACTGTTTTTTTTTTAAATTATATGTTTTGAGATGTTATAACTTAAAACTACATGCATGAAGCTTACAATCACACATAGGTAGCGTACCTTACTTTTTAATTTCAAAATATTTTTAAAATCACAATATAATAATATAATTATCAGCTTTAGAAATCTATTTAACATACGAAATATTTTAAAATAACACCGTTTAAATTAGGTATTTATTAAGTAACCATTTCTATTTATAATTAAAAGACCACTAGAAATAATACTTAAACCTTCAAATATTATATTACCTTTCCGAAGCTTTTTGACGGGCTGAATCCAAATCCGACCTTAAAATTGCTTCATAAAAAGAGGCGTTTCCCTATATTTTTTACCACAAAACTCTTTACGTTATTCAAAAGTAGGATGCTATACGTGTTATATAAAATTAATTCCCTAATTTTTGAATAGATTCCTACAGCCAAATCCAACAAAAAGCCTACACGCGTGATAACTCGTTCTTATTGGTCGCTTCTGAAGGTGTGACTTGGATTGTATATTCTTATTGGCCGATTCTGAGGGTATGACTCGGATTGTGTTTACATTTAGTTCGCGTTAAATTTGAATAAACTTTAGTAATACCCCAAACTTATACTTAAAGATTTTAAAGTGGGAAAGTAATACTTTCAGATAACGTAACGAATTTCGTGGAAAAAATTACCTTGTTATGTAACATAACCTTAAATATAGAAATAAGACGCGTTATTTTACAGTTTTAATGTATGTATTTGCAGTGGCGCGCCATGGCGGTTGCGTAAATAAAACCCGATTTATTTTTTACTATTTTCTTCTTTTTATTCAAAAGATGAAGATTGCAAAAAATACAATCTTAATGCGAACTTAAGTGTTTTTAGGTTATGTTAACCTATTTATATTATACGCAGCGAGGGGTAAACCACTGATTTTTAAAAATTAAAAATCGCTTACGAATTAACAATAACAAGGGTAGTCAAGCGCAACGCGTCGCTAAGCACTGATTAAGCAAGTTTTCCTTATTGATAACGACTGATAAGGAAAAAATCACAACACAACGTCCACTAACATTGAACGTTGGTCTCTAAGATTTTAAAGTGGTTTACCCCTCGATACGCAGTAAATACGTGCACGTTAGGGTGCCTGTAATTTAGTTTTTACGGGCACGCTAGTGACGAAATGGATGAAATTCATACATATACTGCCGTGCCGCTTAATTTAAAATTGGCGGCACGTCAACCGGTCAATTTAACTGTCACAAAGTAAAGACCTAAAAAGGATTCCATAGCAGGTACAAAAAAATTAATTAAAGGTTCCTTTTGGACCACCCTTTATACAGGGTGTCCCATAATTAGCGTGCAATACTTTAGCAGCAGATTCTACGTACAAAAATAAGAAAAAAAGTTGCTATAAACATAGGCCGAGAAATGCTTTCCAAGGGAACTACAGCCCCTAAATGAGGAGCCCCTGAAGATGGTTTTTATTTAGTATATCCAAAACCGTTCAAGGTAGAAAAGTATCTGCTGTTAAAGTATTGCACGCTAATTATGGGACACCCTGTATAAAGGGAAATTCATTAGTCAATATAACTCGCAAAAATAAAGAGAAAAGTTAATATGAACTTATATGTTTAAAAGCTTCGTTTTCGAGATACAGGCTGGTAAAATTATTTTAAAAATATTATTTTTTTCAAATATTTCAAAAACTTTTGAGCCGAATTTAATAAAAATGTTGAATTTCTATGATAAAAAGTAACTTTTTTGTTTATATAAAAACAAAGAAGTTACAATACAAAATTGTACTTTTTTGTGATAAAAAATCTCCGCTTGTTTTTTTCACCACTCCCTTGACTTTTCGACGATATTATTTTTGGTTCAAGCAATTAAAAATACAACTTTTTTTGTCTCCAGTATTTTTTCTCTATATTTTTTAAAACAAAATCCGTTTATTTGCCCTGAAAAAATCTAAATATAATATCAAACTTACCATATTTTTGTTATTAACTTAATACCCTGTATCTTGAAAACAAAGCTTTAAAGCTTACAAGTTCATACACCTACATTTTATTTTTATTTTTGTAAGTTCGATTACAAAATTTTCCCGAATAAAATATGAGATACACACTGTAAACCGTAAAAAATAAATTGCAGGCACTCTAACGTGCACCTAGTCACTTTGTATATAATAACATAAGATTATTTGATGGTTTAAGTAATATTCCAATACTTTCATTGATTCTTAAAATTTAGTATTTCCTGACTTGGCTTGACTGTTAAAACTATTTAGCTGTTTTACAATAATATATGTGACGCGCTGCGAGAAAACGAATCTAATAAGGACCAAGAATGTTTACAGGAGAGGCGAATGAAGTTCGCGTAGCATAGGCGTTTGTGTATCAACGCTCGACTTCGTAGCATTTTTAATTTTTGAGATAAACAAATCATTATTGGATTTGTACTAATCATTTTTGGGGCCTAAGGTTCGTTTTCTCGTCAAATACGAGAGTTAATGCGCCTGCATCGTTGTGAATAATCCGCATTATATCGAGTGTAATACTATGCTTTTTCTACTCCAATTAAGTTATTTTCATTAATAACTTAAATGATTTATAAATACATCTGTCAACCGGGTATAACCTCGCTCTCCCCCAATTTAAAACATGATTAAATCACAGTGAATAATGCAATAGGTCAATTACTGATGCCTGACAAATAATGACAATGACAATAACTCAAATAATGCAAATAATATGCAGTAAGTAGTAAAAAAGTTGCACAGCTACTCTTTATTTAAAAACTAACTAAGTTCTAGAAAGTAAAGTAAAACAGCTAAATAGTTTTGACTGATAGTTTGACAGTTAGGTTAAAAAATATTCCTTAACCTAACTGTCTAATGAAGTATATTTTTAAGAACCAATAAAACGACTGAAATTTATAAATTATAACCGCGTAGACCTAGATAATTAACATTTTTAATTTTTTTACCTTTAAAATATTTTATGTTAAATTTAATTTTTATTTAATAGGAAAATTTCAGAAATAAATAATTAGTAATTAGTAAGTTGCTTTTGAATCGACCAATAATGGCGTTGTAAAACATAGCAATTTAAAGTGGCAAACTTAATTTCAAAACTTATAATAATAACTTAAAAAGAAATAGGTACTTAATTAAAACGGTTTTATTGCAAAATATTTTGTTGTTAGATGTAGTGTGCTAAAAATTTGATGGCCCATTATTATCTTAGCAAACATTCTGCATAGAAGTGTGAACTTTTGAATGCTAAAAAGTAAGGTGGAGTTTTTTGGACAAAACAGTTAAATAGCTCAATGACAAAATGTAGTCGTAATCGATGCAGGTTGCAGTGTTCTTACCGCATTCTAGTTGCATCAAGGTGAAGTGAAGTGAGGTAGGGTGACGCGACAAGTCCGCCACAACCAACAAAACAAAGTTAACAACTACCCAATGCTCACTATTCTAATTTTTATTATGCATAGCTACTAAGTTAGTATGTGGTGTTGTATCGATGCACATGTACATCGCCATTAATCGATGTTCTTTTGTGTTTTGGTGTCGTGTCTTACTGGTGAATTAACGTATGAGCTTTTGCCTAGGACTTTGATCATGTATAACTATGAAATTTCTTTTTTTTCTTTATATTCTCATATATTTAGAAATTTACAAACACCCCATATTTTCTTGGGCTTTGCTTGTATAAAAAAAACGTTTATAAGTCTGGTATTGTTTTGCAACACCATCAATAAAAAAGGTAAAAAAAGCTTTAAGTCGCCTAGTGTAATCCCCACGGAATAGAATATACCTATTTTATTATGTGACAAATTTTGATCTGGGATGAAATCTAAAAAAATCGAAAGCAACCTTTAAGGGGTTACATACATTTGTGCTGGGTCAAAAAATCGATTAAAACTTTAAACGTGTTCATCTCGGAATCGTATTTTTTGAAAACTGCCGTTGCCGTGAGCATGATTTCTCGGAAGCCAATTTACCGATGGATCTGAAATTTGGAAGTGTTGTTTCTAATTACAATAGCCCCTTCGTGAACGAAGGTATTTTCATTCGGATGAAAATTTCTATTTTTTTCGGCCGGGAAACTCAATTTTTGTACCCTCGAAAATCGATTATTTTGGGAAAATCACCGCCATTTGCGTGAACATTTTTATTTTGCAAAACCCTTCGTTCACGGGTAATACTATGTTCTAATATGGATTTTTTTTTCATTAAGATCTGTTTGGCGGTTTTTGATATTTTATGCTCACCCAAACGCTTGAAAAAAAGACGTTTCGGGACAAGGGCTGTATTTTCGACAATTTTTCATATTTTCGCATACATTTTTTTTTACAAATACTTTGAAATACACCCTATTCCGATGCTTTATAGTTCGTTTCAATACAATTATTATTATATACCAAAAAAAATCACCAAAAAACGTTTTAAAATTTTTACGAGCTCATATGTATGTAACCCCTTAAAACAAATTCTTTAAGAGGTTTTGCCAGTTTACCTCGAATAATGTATGTCCGCCCAAGTTGTCTGCTAATGAGAAACTGTTTTACTATTCATTTTACAAAAAAAGTTACCTACTCCATATGAAAAGTTTTGCTTCCTGAAAAAATATTATAACATAAAAACTTGAAGCATCTACAGGGTGGTCATAAAGTATGATAATTTAAAAATGGCCCTAGAAAGAACTTTTTTATTATTTTTTATGTACAATGTGCAAGGTACATGCTATTTCAAGTTTTAATAGTCCAAAATTATGTTTATAAGAAGCAGAACTGTATATAGGGAGTAACTATTTTAGTAAAATGAATAATAAAACAGTTTTCTTTTGGGCTATTTATGAATTATCCTACTTTATGACTCTGTACATACTATTTCAAGTTTTTATAGTCTACTTTTTTTTAGGTAGCAGAACTTTTTATAAGAAGTACCTTCTTTAGAAAAATAAATAATAAAAAAGTTTCCTATAGGTGACAACTTAGGTTGACTCACTGTATATCTCCATATATGATATATAGATATATCTGAATCTGTAAAAACCAAATCTGTCAAAAAACAAAAATCAAATAAAAAATGTTACGTTATTTAAAAAAAAATTCTACGCGTCCAAGCGTCGAACGGGAACTGCAACGATTGATGTCAATGTCATATCTATAAATCCCGAAACTGATTGAAAATCCAAAATACCACCAACGGCTGCCTGAATACTAGAGGTCCAGAAGGAACATAGTATATCTACTATCTACTTTTATATGGGCATTAGTAATAATGTCTCGAAATCAAAGGTCAAAGGTGAAGAAAAACAGTTTTTCTTGATTATCTCCTAAGCTATAGAATTTACGTACATTTTGGTAGTGATGACATTTGTCATAAAATAGTCCTTAACAAAATTTACGTATGACTAGTAGTTCTCAAGATAATCGAATTTTGTCACGTTTGACCTTTGAAATTGGGCAACATCCGGCGCAACATTTCTAAAAATACAACCCATAATTTTTCTTAAAGAGAAAATATACAATAGGCTAAATAATAGAATTCTATTTATTTTTTAAATTATTTTTGGAATTCAGCTCAGCTTGTGTTTTTACAACGATTTAACAATTAAATAAACCAATGGTTTTATTAACTTTAAATAATATATTAAAAAACTAACGTTTTTTATAACATTAATTAAAGGAAAAAGTGGTTTAAGGGGTTAAGTATCAATTTTATTAATAAAGGATAAATATTATTGTAATTATAATTAAAAATTAATTTGGTAGGTACTGCAATTACAATATTTTTTGTCCTTTATTCTTCAAAATGTTACTTAAATTCCTATAAATGCAATTAAATAGAGAGAAAAGAATTTATGACGAATGTATTGTGATTGATTTTTTTAATCGCTTTCTCTATTTTCTCTGGCATGTTGGATAGGAAGTTACGGAATTTCCGACACTGTATATATGTGGATTAAAATGTTTGTACTAGAAATAGATTTAATAAGGATTTAATTTTGAAAATTAATCCTTAACCTAATATTATAATAGGGCCAATCCCTAGATTACGTATAGGAATACTAAAGCTTAAAAATCTAGAAATCCATAGTATAGAGTTACATGACCTTATATAAATACTGATTGGCACAGACAATACATATTTTTCCAACTTCAAGGTAAATAAAAAAGATTTAAGTCAGTTGTACTTATAGTCATTCAGTATTTTCTTATCTAAAAGAGATGATAAAGCCTCTAAACATATAGAAAGCAACAAACACCACGTAAAGCAAATATACTTTACATTTATCAGTAGCTGCATTATTTATAAGAAAAGTTCATACGTTAATTAAGGTATGTGTTAGCAAAATAAATTTAAGGGTATATACATAACTAATTCTAAACTAAGGTTAGGAAAAAGAAATATATTTGCCGAATTCAAATACATTTTATATTAATATTGTTTTACTTAAACAGGCAAATTTTTTTCCTTATTAAGATTTTGAAATATTTACAAAACTTGATTTTATTTCTAAATTAAGTATTATGTTTTAGGAAATAGTTCTACAACTAGGTTTACATTTCTATTTTTCGGACAGCATGCCCTTATGCATTTTGCCGCTTAAATAATAAAAAAATAAGCCTAAACAACAAATTAAAAAAATTTCATTTAATTATTTATATGTAAAATATTTTGAGATCAAAATATTTTTCACTGTTAAAATAAATCATTTTGGTCCCTTTATTCTAAAATCTATTTTTTAGTTTTACTTCAGTTACAAAATTATAATAAACTAGTGTAATTTTGGTTAATTCTGTTTTAATTGTGTTTTTGTGCTAGTGCTACATCATTTGGTATAATAAAAAGACGATTAGAATTTGCTAAAAATGTACCTTTTACAAACAATATGCTAAAAACATAGTCATATAATAAAGAATCATTGCTCCAAGATTCCTACAATAAAAGTCATTAAAAAAGGTAAAAAAGAGTAATATTATTTTTTGTTTTGAAAAATATTTTTAATTTGACTATTTTATTAACTCTTTTTTAACTTTTTTATTAAAATTGGTAATTTATACTAATTATTTAAATAATAATTCAGTATACACCTAAACAAACATAAATGTTAGTCACAGAATTATTATTGATATTTGTGTTGTTTGGTAAAAGTACTTTGTAGGTTTTTTAAGTGAAGTTACGTGGAGTCTATCGTGATTTATTTTAATTATGTTTTGATTTAAATCAGGTTTAGAAAATTTTGTGTAATTGTACTTACTTGAAAAATTCCTAGTAGCCAACATAGTAGTAAGAATGGCACCCTGTTTAAAAAAAATAGTTAATTAAAGAAATATTTGCTTCTAGGGTTTAGTAAGTAAATTTAAATGTTAAAATACATTAGAAATTACTCGTTACAATTTATATACATATATTATATATAGTTGATATGTAGTTATAATATACATACGAGGTGTGTTCAGAAAATATCGGAAATTTTCGTTTTATGAAACAGATATTTATTTATTCGTCTACATTAATGTTGTCGCCTTTAAAATAGTCCCCATTGCATATTATGAACATGTGCCAGCTCTTCTTCCAATACTCTAAACACTTCTAAAACTCGATCTTTGGGATAGCCTTTAGTTCTTTCAGCGATGCGCTTTTAATGTCATCTATGCTTGCAAAACGACGGCCCTTTAAGGTTCTCTTTATTTTTGGGAATAGGAAAAAGTCAGACATGTCAGGCATGTCTGGCGAATATGGAGGATGGGGCATCATTACAGTATTGTTTTTGGCCAAAAATGTTGTTCAAAATTTAACAATTTTAGAACAAATTTTGCTGCCACGCGTTTCATACCCAAAACATTCGAAAAAATTTCATGGGATGAGCCAATCGATATACCAACATCATCAGCGACTTCTCTGATGGTTTATAACCATTTCTTCCACTTTTTCCATGTTTTTATCGGTTGTTAATGTGCTTGTGCGTTCGGGGCGTTCGTCATCTTCAACGTCTTCACGGCCATCTTGGAAACTCTTATACCACTTGTAAACTCTTGTTTTATTTATAGCAGACTTAATATAGGCCTTTGTTAACATTTTACAGAATTTATTTAATTTTTTAAGCAAAATTGGATACAAATTCTTTGATCCATTTCTTTTAACGAACGAAAAATCGCCGAGCTCATAAAACACGTCTTACCTTAGCGGCTGCCAAAGACAAAGTAAACAATGAAAACAGCTAAAGTTTTTATCATACTTCGGGGGCATGTAAACCAACATAATAAAGAAAATTTTATGACAACCGGACCCTCCGAACCTGCGAAATTTAACAATTCCCGTTATTTTCTGAACACACCTCGTATATGGTTGCATATATCGTCACCTTATCTTAGTCTTACAAGTATAGTTACCAATATTTAATTTAATTTGTTCGAATCTGAATCCCATCCAGTTCCTTGGTATCTACTTGAAAATGTCTAATCAATACTACAACTGGATAACTCTAGCTTCATCCACTGCAAAGTAATATGTCTTTGCAACAAATATATATGTTTTCCAGCCAGGTAAATTTTTACACGCAAATTTTTAAATTACATTATTAAAATTACCCACCCACCCATTTTCAGTGTGAGCGCTTATTTTTAGAATTCAAAGGATGTCCCAAATTTGCTTGATTTTTCTGTTATCATTCCCAAACAGTTCTTTCAACTATAGTTTTAGTATTAAAATGGCGATATAACCCTAAAAGTTTTTTCCAATGGCATATATTTTTTGATTTTTGCTTAAAAACACACTATTTTACCAGCCGCATTATGCTAGCAACATTCCCATTCCTAAAGTAAAAGAACTGTTAACTGACATTTTTGACGAAAACAGGATTTTGATATTGTTAGAATAGTGAAGAAATTCTGCATTGTACTTTGCTTGACATTACTCATTTTTTTATTACAGCGACGCCAAGAATGTAAGTAAATACCGAATAATTTAAAAACGTCTTTGAGAAAAAAAGCGTTAACTAGAACAAAGACGCTTATAAATACATAACAGTTAAGGATTTTAAAGATTATAAATGCTTCTGGACATGATCACCTTTGCTATTTTTTTTGCAGTTAACGCAGTTCCAGTAAAAAGAAGACGCATTTTGTCAATCTTGCATCTGAAGGCTGAACCGAAATGGCAGTTAACCTTTTCTGTACATAGTATTTCTATGAAAAAAAAACGTAGAGTGGCGTTTATATTTTCAAGTAGCAAAAACTTTTTTAATAGTTATAATAAAAATTTGTTCATTACATTTTTTTAAGTTAATCCAAATGAAGGGAAACATCTACATAAATCAATTGATGCTACGATTTCTAATAAAAGTTTTTTTTAATCGAATTTGTTTCTTTAACTTTAAACGGCAGTTTACCATTCATTTTTAATATTTCAATAATTTTTAATCACAACATATATAAATTTAAATCTCATATTACCAATATTTTTCAAAAAAAATATATATTAACAGTATTCCCCCAAAAGCACACAACTTAGATTTGGTTTGTTTAATCCAGATTAACTTTATTCTGTACACCTTTTAGGTTTCCTAATAAAATAAAGTTCAAATTGCGTTCTAAACTACTCAAGAAACTAAAATAAATTCGATGATTTCAGCTACGCGATTTGAAAAATTAAACTTTTCAAGCTAATTTTAAATATCCTGATTGCATGTACAAAAGCAGTTTCGTATGCGTTTTGATGGTCCCGATTACATATTAATGATAATTGATTAAACGAATGTTACCAATTGCTTTATTTAGGTCAATAAAATTATGTAATCCTTTTATTGTTAATCGTGATCATTTTTAATAAATTCCCAACTTCTTTTTGTTAATTTTTTAGGGAATATTGGCGTATTTATTAATCAGTCCGGTGAATAATTCAGCACGTTGGATATAATTTAAATTATTGAAAGGGCTTACCTTGAGTTTGCGTCTTGCATTGAATTTTTTGAGGCAGTCCACCGTTTCTTGTCTGTGTACGACAGATGCAACGCGTTCCCTTTGCTGAAAAATATTAAAATTAATTTAGCATACCGTTTTGGATTTTCTTAATTAACATCAAACAAAATTAATTTGATTACTTACGCAGATCCAGGGATGTTTTAAAGCTTCAGCAGCTGTGATCCTTTTTCCAGGATTAACTGTTAACATTTGGTTAATAAGATTCTTGGCCTCGGGCGTGACTGTATCCCATTCCGGACTCGGGTACTGAAAATCAACACGTCCCGTTAATAATTTTCAAAGTTATATAAGCTCAGTAATTTTGTTAAGGGAGTTAGTGGAAACGGAGATGACTTTTAAGATGTAATTTTGTTTAATGGCGTGACGGAAAAGATTTATCTAGATTTCTAGATGATATAATGATGAAAAACCTAAAATTGCAAAAACTTCAAAAATTATAAATTTTTCATTATTTTAATTTTTCAGGAAGCAATAAAACTAAATAACATTAAGAATCACGAGCCTTCTTGCAGAAAAACATCAATAAACCTGGACAAAAAAATAATAAAGAAATTGAATAAACAACCCATTTTAAAATACCAAATTATTATCGGAATTGAAGTATTTTAAAATTAGAAACGCATTTTAAAATATTTAAAAAAATAAATTTAGAAAAAATCTTTATATACAGGGTGTCCGGAAATAACGTTAATATATTTCGGGGGTTGATTCTACACGTAAAAATAAAAGAAAAAGTTGTTATATACAGATGTCAGAAGATGCCTCCTGGGTGCGTTATATATAGGCATTTTATACTGTCGCAAAATCAGGTTTTTATTAATTATTTCACAAACGGTTAGTGTCAAAATAATGATACTTTATTTCTGGGGTAATTTTTGGGCAACAAATCATCTGATGTAAAATCGGATAAAAAAAACGCTATTAAAAATTTCTTGCCACATAAATTCTAGTTATTATACAGTAAATGAACTACAACAATACCCTGCTTAAAATACCCCATAGAGACCCTGTTCAAACCGATAGATATTTTTATCGGAATGTATGGTGTTTCTATAGGGTGTATCGGTATGTATAGGACCCATAGTTGAGATTTATGGTTGTTCTATACTATATTCCGAATCTATAGGGATATCCACTTTTGATTTATTTGCTATTGGGTTCAATGGGGAAAATACACATAAATTTAGAAATTAGTTTTTCCCCATAGGACCCCATAGGTTTTAATAAAATTTTGTCAAATGTTTTATGGTTGCTCTATAGGGAAATCCCCATATATCCTTCATTGAGTTATTTGCTATCGGTCTCAATAGGGAAAATGTAAAAGTTATGGTGTGCCTATGGGTAATTTCCTATACATTTTCTATCGGGCCGTATCTGGAAAAAACCATGACCAAACCAAACCTCAGACGAGACGGGACTTGGTCTTGCAAGAGTCTTGCAGTTTAATATTGCTGCTGGCGTACTTGAAAACTGCGGACTTAAAAAAGTATAAATCATTATATTTTTTATTAAAAACCCAGAATGTCTTTTTTATTTTTTGTATACTTTTTTCTATAGCTATTAAACTGGTAACGATCAATATTACGCGAAACATATCTTCCCAAATTGATTTTAATATTTTTAATGATCGTCGGTATCAGTTGCCTGTGCAGTTGCTGAAAAAATTTTGCAAAAATTATTTGTATTGTTTTTAGTATTATTAAATCACATAGACCAAATTATTTTTTTGTGCTATTAAATAGGCTCAGCTTATCGTAATATTAATACTCGTTGTAGGGCCGTATTTTCAATACCTGTTTATAAAACTGGTAAAGGTGGATTTAGCCAGCATTTAATGTAATGTAATTTAACGAAAAATTGTGCAATTTATATATTTTTAGTACATATTTGTAAGCATGTTTGAATGATAATTATCTTTACTTTTAAGTAAAAAACAAGAGGCCGCGCAAGCGAAACAGTTGCTACTCGGGGATAATGATGCCCACGAGACCAAGGAGACGAGACTTTCATAAAGTCTTGTCTCGAGTCTCGTCTCTCAACCTTCAATATCATCTCGTCTCGCTTCTCGTACGAGAGCAAAAGTATCGAAATCTCGTCATGCATAATCTTATTCCAGTCTAGTACAGCATACTTACGTACCTACATGACATAATTAAAATTTGTGGATCAAAGTCTCTTTTAATTTTTGGCCCCATCTTCTCAAAGGGTAAATTATGCCGCAGTCAAATTGAGGGCACGTAACCAGTTAAGGGTTAAAAGCCAGTTAATACCAAGAATTTATAATGATTTATACCGTCAACCGTGTTTGTTTAATCTGCATTGAATTACCATAAAAAGTAAAGGGTGATTCAGTTAGGGCTTCCACATGAAAGTATAAAATAAAACACAGAAATATTTAAAAAAATATGTATTTTTGTGTTTAGAATTTTAGATCAATACTTAACAATCACACATAAAAAATAACATCAAACAAATTACCGCCTCGTCTCCTAATACATTCGCTTGTTATAATTTTCGGGGCATAACGCGACTCAATGCCGGCTATTTCGCGTCGAATTACTTGTTTCTGCTGCCGTTTGACTGTGGCGCCATCTTGTTGAAACCAAAGATCTTCGATATCAATATCTTCCAACTGTTCCCAAAAAAATTCTGTAATCATGCTCCGATAGTAAACTAAAGCATTTTCCGCATTGTCTTCAGAAAAATACGGGCCAATTATGCCACCAGACCACGAGGCACACCATAGTTTCACTTTTTGAGGATGCATTTTCTCCTCAGAAATCTTTCTTGGATTTTCTAATCCCCAAATACGGCAGTTCTGCTTGTTTACGTGGCCGCCTAGATAAAAATGCACCTCATCACTAAAAAGCATTCAGCAAACATACGATTCTGTAAATGATCTCTAGGCTTTAGGTTTTGTGTTGTTTGGATTTTCTAAGGATGTAAGTGTAAATCCTTAGTTAAAATTCGTTGCGTAGTGAAGTAGGAAAGACCAAGTTGCTGCAAACGATGACGTGCCATCTGGTGGCGGTCGATTGCATTTTGGGAATTCAAGAATTGTTAACAATACATCGTGGTTCGAATCCCACCAGGGGTATGGCTGTTTATTTGTGTTTGTCCTTCGGAGGGGACTTTAAGGCCGCGGTACGTTCCTACCCCTAACCCGCTTAAGCCATTCAGTTGGCTTCTGGGACTTTTTAGGAAGTAAGGGTGGAACTTTTGTATACAAACATTTAAATCATACAAACTGCACATCATTTTTAAATAAATAGGAAGTTTTTTCACAAAACAGAGGAAGACAAAAGTCTTTCTTGACAAATTTTGTTTGCAAAGTTTCAATTGCACAGCTGAATCGCGCACGTTATTTGTGTGTTTGCGTTGCAAGTAAAAACTTATATCATTAATTAAGAAACTCGCTTATACACTGTTCAAAATTTCATGACCAATTTAACACCAAATTAACACCATACGTGGTCTATATCGATACAAACCAAAATGGTGTTAAATAAGGTCCGTTGGTCCGGTGTCAATTCAAATACTAAAATGGTGTTAAATAAGGTTCGTTGGCGGTGTAAATTCAAATACTAAAATGGTGTTAATTTAACTTTCACACAGTATTAAAATAAATTTTACCTGGTGTAAATTGAACTCCTTTTCAGTGTTAAATATTATGTGTTTGTGGTCAAATTATCATACTACACAGAAGAAAGGAAAAAAAAAGGAAACAGGAAGTTCCTTGACGCATTACTAGTATATTACCAGTGGTATTATTCCAGAAAATGAAACCTTCAACTCGCTAGAGATAATGTTTTTAGTGCGTTCCACTAACTTAAAATACTTCAAGTATTGACAGCTGTTTCCACCTATTTAAGGTCTCTTTAGTATCGAACAACTTGTAGTGTCACACCAAAGCAAAGGATTACCTAAGTTTATATATTCTTCATGTAAGTCAACAGAGGCGAGATTTAAGAACATCACGTGATCCACAAAAATATAACTACTTATGGGTCAACTGGGTTAAATGAACTATTCCTTTTTTTCTGGGTAGGTGCACTTCTCAAATATTTTTAGATAAACACCGTTTTGGTGTTCATTTTCAACCCTAATTCATGGTGTTATATTAACACCATTTGGTGTTGGATTTTGACACCATTTTAGGATTACTTTTTACACCGCAGATATTTTAAACAGTGTATGCTTATATAGTTACGTTAGTGTGTGTATTTTATCTAAGTGATCATGGTAAATTATTGTGTTTTTAATTGTAAATGTAATTCAAGAACTAAATCGATTCATTTTCATATTTTGCCAAAGGATCCAATTCGGTACGTTTATTTGTTGGTGCAGAATTCACTAATGATAAATTTACCACAAGGTTCCCAAATCATTATTAATTTTTGAGCAGCATTAAAAATGAGTTATTTTGTTTATCCAAGAAAAAGTTTTTGGCGCTTGGTTCCTTTTCAATAAACGCTATCCATATAATACCCATTTTTGGTATTTTATTGAACTGAATTAAAATGTTTACAATTTTTACGTAATTCATTACTTAAATGTGTATTTATCGTATATATCATTTATATTTACAGGGACTGTATGCAATTTATTTTCCTTTCAAAATACACCCAGCAAAACAACAAATCGTTCCACGTTTTTTTTTAAATTTTCGGCATTTTTCTCAAAAATACTCGTTTGTAAGATACGCGTTTGACAGCTATTATTAAAAGTTGTAGTTTTGTTATGATGATAACGGCCACGTGGTGGCGCTACTAGCGATGCTTCTTTAGCGTATGTTATTTGTAAAAATTATTTTACCAATTCAAAACAAAAGTTTAAGCGAGTGCGTAATTGCTTTACCACTCAAGGAATTTACACCACCTTATCCAAAACAGAAAATTTCCAATCTTTTTGTATTTTTTAAATTTAACATTGACCGTTGAGAAAAATTTACTTAATTACATTCTATAATTGAGTATTCTTGACCATTACGTTAGTAATAATATATCAACGGCTGTGCTTTCTTTAGAGCAAAATTAAAATTAAAATCTCCAATTAGCTAATGGGCAGTTAAGAAATTTCTTTATTAATAAATCATATCATAATTTGCAAATGCAATAAAAACAAGTAAATGCATAAATACCATTTTAATATTTTTATATTAAAGATATTTTTTGATATAAAAAATTGTATCCTTAAGCGGTCCATAAATTAAATTTTATTGTTGTCGACACTCGATATTGAAGTGA